TTTGCGGTTAGGATATACATATACCTAATTGCCTTGGTTGGTTGATGTACATTAGTTATAAATGTGTTCTTGTTGATTCTAACTCTATAGATATATAGGCGTTAGGTTAGCTTGAATAGGCAAATAACAACTTGATAGATTCCTATGAGCAATATAAACCCTATCAACCAATAAGCTAGATAAATTAGTTAGTCAATTTAGTTGAAGAATACAATAGGAATGTCATATAACCCATAACCGTAGATCGTTTTCATGACACTGATAACATAAAAATCTACTCTTCCTTTGTTCAGAGTTCATTATTTGTTTTCTTTTTATTTTAAATTGATTAGAGTCATATATTACTACGCTTAATTCTTATTTAGATAATTAGGATAATCTGATTTAGTTAATAGTTAATCACAAGTCCTCATGGGTTTGACTTCCAACTTTTAGTCACTTTATTACTTGACAACCGCGTATACTTGCGTATGCGTTTGGCCGCAACAAGTTTTTGGCGCCGTTGTCGAGGACTTAGAAATCAGCTATTTTCTACATTATACTCTTACTTTTATCTTTTGTTTTTTTTGTAAATACTTTTATTTTTATAACTATTTGTTTTTTCTCTTAGCGTATTTCTAGTTCTCTTAGCATCACATATGTGGATGAAATATACGGAGATAAGGTTATTGAAGAAAACGCTTGGTTGACGGAAGACCTTTATGGCCCGTATTTTTGGATAATAAATATAATTTCATATTCGGCTCCACAATAGTTTGTCCATTAAAATTAAATTGCTTTCCTAAGTTGAGGGTTTATTAGAAATAGTCTCTCTATCCTCACAAGGTAGGGGTAAGATCTGCGTATACACTTCCCTCCTCGGACCATACGGTGTGGGATATTACTGGGTATGTTGTTGTTGCGTACCTCATTTTTTTCATAAAGTCAGCCAAATTATTTCTGAGAAGAAAGCTTAGCTGGGAAATAAACAAAGACCTACTGTTTTGACCAGACTTTTGAAACAAAAATTGCTAAAAAATGTATTTATTATAAAATATAACCCAAAATAGTAATATAAAACAAGCAAAAACAAACTAAGAGATATAGAGAGAAAGAGAGGAAGAGAGATTCTTATTTTTTCTTCAATTGTGTGTATTTTTCGATCTATTACAAGGCCTTTATATAAGCATAAAAGTGAAGAAAATATGTCATGGAATATGTCATTGAACATACAAAATATGTCATTGAATATGTCATTAAACATTTTAGATAAAGATCATGGAAGAAGAGTAGACATCCAACATAATGTGATATTTATCATAACACTCTCCCTTGGATGTCCATAGATAATATGCCTTGTTAAAACATTATTAGGAAAAAACCCTATGAAAAAAAATCCTAGTGAAGGAAAAAGAGTACACATGTTTAGAAATATGCCTTTTGGTTGCCTCGTTAAAAACCTTGCAAGGAAAACCCAGTGGGACAAAACCTTGTAAGGGAAAAAGAGTACAACGCGTATTAACTCCCCCTGATGAGAGAATCAACTCACATCCTTGAGCCTTCGCATCCCAATTTTGTACACCAGTTTCTTGAAGGTTGATGTTGGTAGAGATTTGGTGAATAAATCAGTCATATTATCACTTGAACGAATCTGTTGCACATTGATATCATCATTCTTTTGAAGATCATGTGTAAAAATAAATTTGGTGAAATGTGCTTTGTTCTATCTCCTTTTATGAATCCTCCCTTCAATTGGGCTATGCATGCTACATTGTCTTCATACAAAATTGTGGGTAGTTTTTCACACCTCAAACCACATTTTTCTCGGATAAGATGTATTATGTACATTCTCGACTTGCTTCATGAATAGCAATTATCTCAGCATGATTAGAAGAAGTAGCCACGGTTGATTGCTTAGTTGATCGCCAAGATATGGCAGTGCCGCCACATGTAAACACATAACCTGTTTGAGATCGAGCCTTATGCGGGTCAGATAAATACCCAACATCGGCATAACCAACAAGATCAGGATTGCAGTCATTGCCATAAAATAAGCCTATATCCGTAGTCCCTTTTAGATATTGCTGTTTGATCCCATTCCAGTGTCTCCTTGTAGGAGCAGAGCTATATCTTGCTAAGACATTAACCGAAAAAGTTATGGCAGGCCTTGTAGTATTAGCAAGATACATTAGTCCACCAATTGCACTAAGATATGGTACTTTAGGACCAAGAAGCTCTTCATTCTTTTCTTGAGGTCGAAACGGGTCCTTATTCACATCAAGTGATCAAACAATCATCGCAGTACTTAATGGATGTGCTTCATCTATGTAAAACCGTTTCAATAACTTTTTAATGTATGCCGATTGATTAACAAAAATCGCATTTGTCAAATGTTCAATTTGCAAATCGAGACATAATTTTGTCTTTCCGAGATCTTTCATCTCGAATTCCTTCTTTAAATAATCAATCGCCTTTTGGAGTTCTGTAGGTGTTCTAATAAGGTTTATGTCATCGACATATACGGCAAGTACAACAAATTCCGATGTTGTTTTCTTTATAAAAACACATGGACAAATGACATAATTTATATAACCCTTCTTTAATAAATACTCACTAAGACGGTTATACCACATTCTTCCTGATTGCTTTACACCATACAAAGATCTTTGCAATTTGATTGAAAATATTTCCCGGGACTTTGAATTCTGTGCGTTGGGCATTTTAAATCCCTCGGGAATTTTCATGTATATCTCATTATCAAATGAGCCGTAAAGGTAGGCTGTAACTACATCCATTAAATGCATGTCAAGCTTTTCATGGAGAACAAAACTAATGAGATAATGGAATAATATAGCATCCATAACAGGATAATATGTCTCTTCATAATAGACACCAGTCCTTTGTAAAAATCCTTGTGCAACAAGGCATGCCTTATATCTTTGTACCTCATTTTTCTCATTCTTTTTGCGTACAAAGACCCATTTATAGCCAATAGGCTTAACACCATTAGGTGTTTGGACTACAGGCCCAAAAACTTCACGTTTTGCAAGTGAACTTAACTCTAATTGGATTGCTTCTTGCCATTTTGGCCAATCAAGTCTTTGTCGACATTCTTCAACAGATTGAGGTTCAAGATCCTCACTTTCTTGCATAATGCTAGATGCAACATTATATGCAAAGATGTAATCCACCACTATATCCATTCGATTCAAATTTATCTCAAAATCGATTGGATTTATTGATAGTTCCTTATTTTCTTGAGTCCCGGGCTCATTGATTTCCTCATGAATCTCAGGATTGGTTAAATCATGAATTTCTTTATGAGACTCTTTCGTAGTGTCATCTTGATAATTTATTTTTCTTTTTCTAGGATTTCGATCCTTAGAACCTAATGGTCTGCCATGTTTTAGGCATGTTTTTGACTCATTAGCTATGAAACTAGAAGATTGTCCAATGGGGACATCAATACGGATTGGAACATTCTCTACATGGATATGTGATTTTATTATCCTTTTCAAATCCGTAAAATGCATCTGGCATTTGATTTGCTATTTTCTGCAAATGGATAATCTTTTGCACCTCTGTGTCACAAATAGAGGTACGTGGATCAAGATGAGACAATGATTATTTTTCCACAAAATTTCACGTTTGGTTTCATTAATTTCTCCCCCTAATTTTGGGAAAATGCCTCATTGAATCGACAATCTGCAAAACGAGTAGTGAACAAATATCCCATTAATGTTTCAAAGTAGAGAATAATGGAGGGCGATTCAAACCCAACATATATTTCTAACCTTCTTTGGGGACCCATCTTGGTGCGATGTGGGGGTGCTACAGATATATACAACACATCCAAAATTTCTTATATGAGACATATTAGGTTCATGACCCAAAACTAATTGCAACGGGGAATACTTGTGATAATTTGTCGGTCTGAGACGAATTAGCATTGCTGCATGTAAAATGGCTTGACCCCAAATAGAAGTGGGCAACTTCATTTTCATGAGTAACGATCTTGCTATCAATTGTAGACGTTTAATTAAAGACTCTGCAAGGCCATTTTGCATGTGAACATGAGCTACAGGATGTTCCACTTTTATCCCAATTGATAAGCAATAATCATTAAATGTTTGGGATGATAACTCAGCAGCATTATCAAGTCTAATAGACTTAATTGGATTATCGGGAAATTGTGCCCGTAATCGGATTATTTGTGCCATTAATTTTGCAAATGCGAGGTTGCGAGATGACAATAGACATACATGATACCATCTAGAAGATGCATCTATTATGACCATAATAAATTGCTACTGATAAGCAAATTGCTAACATCTTCACTAAAGCACTGAGTAGAGAAAACTTTGAGAGGAACAGGTTGGAATTAGGGATGATTAAGATCACCTAATAGGCCCAGCTCAGAATACAATGAAAAAAAAAATTGGCTAGGAATTATTCTAACTTTGTGTAAATATCTAAACTAATTCTTACTCAGTTTCTTAGTTTAATCCGTATACTCCTATGACAGGTGTATATATAACTCACTGATCTTTTACAATTTTTTCTCTATTATGGCATTTGAAGCATGTTCAAGAGAGTTCTATATGAAGAACCTGGTTCATCAGTATGAGTTCATATAACAGTTTAGGTATGTTTTCTATACTCTGCACAATTAGAAAGATTAATAATTCAATCATGAGCAGAAGTCCTATACTTGTAAAATTCCTAGAAAATTCTATCCGTTAAGCATTGAACCAGTTTCGTCCCTCCAGAACTCTAAAACCGCATTTTTTGCCAAAAATCTAAGGAAACCAAATCTATGATTAAAATGCTGGAATTTCAGTTTGATTAGACTTCTGTTTGACCCCTGAAAAAGCTGTTGTTACCTAATTAATGTCTAATTCTCTTTAAATACACATCACATCTCCAACCCTCTTCAAAATTCTAAAACCATCAAAAAATTCATCCAATCCTAATTGCCCTCTTCTCCAAAATTCCCATATTTTCTCAAGAAACAAAGAATCATGTCTAACCCACAAGATCATTATGGCACTCCTCCACCACCATCTCCCTCAAATTCATCCTCATCAACTCCACCCAGTGAATCTCCAAAACCTAGGTTTCGAAGACAGAAAATACTTTCCCGAAAAACTGTAGCATCTGGGGCTCTGAGGAAGGTTTTAAACGAAAGGTTGAAAGCTAGCCAAGTGAAAGAAAACCCAGCTCAAAATTCCGATTCTAACTCTAAGACTAAATATTTTAGATCCGCGACTGAGGGAGATGGACATGGGTCTTCTGACTCTGATAAGACTCAAGAATTCCCTACTAAGGTAAGTTCATCTATTATTGAAAACTTAGAAACTAGGTTTGTTATGGTTGGACCCATTAGGGATGTTAAGTTGGCTGAGACGAGTAGGAGTGGAGGTAAAAAGAAGTCTGAAAAAGAAAGAGAGAGAGAGGGTGCATGTGGTGAAGAGAGGGGAAATGGGAAGGGAGAAGTTCTTGCTATATATGGGGTTGCACAAGAGAGGTTAGAATAAAGTGGCATGAAGTCAGGGGGGAAGTGGGTCTGGGGAGGCTGCTGAGGGATTGGTTCATCTGAGCAAAAGGAGAGAGGAACCCGTTTCATCTGCTGAAGATACCCTAGCTAATCTACTGAAAAGGATTGGGGCATGTTATGACCCAAAGAAACGCAAAACTACCACACCAAAAGCCCCAAATGTTCCCAAGCCATCCCAGAAAAGAAAAGCCTCATCCCAAACACGTACTGCCTCTTCAGTGCCTAGGGGTAGAGCTACAAGAAGCAGGGTAAAACAAAGTGAAGCTGATCTACAAAAGGCTTTAGAAGAAAGCAAGAAAAAGTAAATGGACAAAGGAAAGGGAAAGGTTGCGGAATCCTCAAAAGTTGTTGAGGAATATGAGATGGAACTGGTCCATCAAGAGAGGGGTACAATAGTGGAGGTTCCTACACCTAAGCCTAAGAAAACCAAGACTACCTCCAAGAAGTTTTCCTCTGTACTTGTAGCTGTTGAACCCACACTTGCCAAGAGGACAAGATCTGTAGTGAAAGCTAAACAAACAAAGGTTTCTGATGATGAGGATTGGAGTGGAGAAGAAGAAGAAAATGAATATGAGAAGGAACAGGACAAGCTTGCCATTTTTAGCAGAAGAAAAATCTTGAAAGGTAGATTGTTGAAGGAACTGGTGGAACCAGGGATGATGTGATTGATAGACTGCTTAGCAGCTCAGGGATGGAAGGACATGGCCAATCGGATGGAAGGAAGGCTAGCTAGAAATCAATTGATTGAATTCATGGCAAATGCTGTTGTTAAGGATGGAGTTGTCAGTAGCCAGGTGAAGGGAGTTCAAGTGAAATTTGATGCTGTGAAACTGGGAGAGATTCTGGACATACCCTTTGAAGGGTTTGATGATTATACTAGGCAAAGGTGGCCATGCCCGGACTCCCTCCCTACTGCCCTTGAAATCACCAAAAGATTCTGTGATTCTGAGGATGTAAATGAAGCCAGAGCTGTATAGAAGAGTGAGATAAGGCCTCAGCACAAGGTAGTGTTTGAGTTTGTAAATAAATGCTTATTGCCAAGACATGAGAGAAGGTACACTGCCAACTACATGAATCTAGTGCTTATGGAATGCCTTGAGAGGGGAAAACAAATCAACTGGCCTGCACTCATAGTCAAATTTCTAGACAGGGTCATCAATGGTTCCAAGGCTCATGCTACTCCTTATGGCTTCATTCTGACCACAGTTTTGGACAAGCCCAATGTGCCCCTAAAGAAATAGGAAATGGCCTCAAGCAAAGAACACTTTGAAGTCAAAACTCTTCTTGCTTGTGACTATCCAGTCAATGTCATCCCAGTTGAACCTGGTTCATCTCTGAGAACACCCATCAATAGCAAAGTTAGAACTTTGGTTCAGGAGTGTGCTGCTAAGGATGCTGAAATTGCTAGGCTCCAGGCTCGTGTGGTTGAAGTGGAACCTGAGAGGGATGATATCAAAATTGAGCTTGCAAAAGAAAAGGAGAAGAATGATGGAATTCTTCAGAATATGCTGACTCTTCTCCAAACTCAACCCTCCGGTTCCTCCAAGCCTTAGGACTCCTAATTTCTGACTCCTGAACTAGTTCTAGTAACCCAGTGACCCAGATTAGGGATTTTGCTGTTTTTGCTCATGGTTTGAATGTTTTTCTTTCTTTTTGTGGTTTGTTTGTAGAAACATATCTCTATCAATGACAACTGTTGTTATCTCTTGTTCAATGATTATTCTGACCTTAATAGTTTAAATATGTTTGTTTGATTACTGATGATTGCACCATGATTGCACTTGCAGTTGCCCCAGTGGCCATGAGTACTTATTAATATCTGGGATTCACACTATGTATGCAACTTTTCGATGATGCCAAAAGGGGGAAGAGATAATGTGCTTTATACAAATTATTCTGAAATAAGTGATATTTATAACATAATTAACCTAGTCCTTGATGATAAGTAAATTTTCTAAGTTTAGTGTTGATGGTTAAGCTGAGTTCTTACAGGTTCTTTGATCAATAAAAAAGCACAGAGTTTGTCATCATCAAAAATGAGGAATTTGTTGGCCCAGGAACAGGTAAAGTTTTAAAGAATGACAAATGAACTCAGTCATGGACCAGGTCCATCTTGTGAAGCACAGTCTTGATCTAAACATGTGAGATGCACATGAAGGAGATGAGCATGAAGAAGATAAGTCATCAACAATATCTCCTGATCTGATCGAAAAGGTTGCATATTGGATAAGGGGAGAAGGTCTCCTTATATGAAGAGAACACAATCCGGATAAAAGATAGTGTTGGAGTTTGAGATCTTCAAGGACTCAACTACGATAGAAGATCAGCAATTAAGTCCCAATCAAACTCTGATTACTAACCTATTAAATGATAGTGATTGATCTCTTTTACAGGCATTGCACAAACGCAGAAGTTGAACTAAATTGAAAGCAAAAGAGCAAGGCGATTTTGCAAGCAATTTATGTGAAATTGAGTGTGCACTACTGAAACTACTTGAACGAGATAGAAGAACTAGTTCCATTGTGTTTTTTTGTATTCTAGTTCAATTGTAGTAGGTGGTTTAAAGTTGTACCTCTCTAGCTTTCATAGAAGCAATTTTTTAGCTACTTTGAGTGTTAAAGTTATAACCTAACTTGAAGTTGTCGCAATAGTTGAGGCTGTGTGCTACAACGAGATTAGAGTTAATCTTTAGGTTTACAAAGAATTTTTGTAAATGCTGCTTTGGCTCAGTGATTTTAGTGGAAGTTTGGGAAAATCCTACTGAGTAGTAGGTCGTGGTTTTTTCACCTTTTGAGCTAGATGTTTTCCACGTAAAAATCTCTCTGTTCTTCATTTTATGTACTTTTAATTCCGTAAACAGTAGTAGTTAGAACACCTAGAAGAACCTAGTTCTTATAGATCAAAAATTGGGTATCACACAAATCACCCCCCCTTCTTGTGTGGTATTAACGCTTAAAACATCAGGCTTGCCTAGCAGGTGAGGTTAGGTTCCATCACGGCTAGTTGGATTTTGGGTGGTGACAAAAGTATTTCCATAAAATGGAAAACTTCGGATTCTAGTGTATGAGTTAGGCTAACAATGAAACAGATGGAATGAACTAGTACTACGTCTAATTGAATGAGTGTAACCCGGCAACAAAGTTGTATCATGTGACAATAATTCCAACAAAGAGTAACTCAACTATAAAAGAAACCACATAATGGTAAAAGTGTTAATGACTTCAAATAAAGTATATAAGAGCAAACTCGACCATTAAAGAATGTGACATATAACAACTTCAAATAAAACATGTGATAGTAAACATGACGAATAAAAGATATAATAGGTGCTAACAATTTCAAATAAATACATAAAAAAAGACTAAGGGTCTAAACCAGTCAATTTTCATATATAAGCCCGAGTATGTACTCATCACCTCACGTACATGGATTTCATATAATACTAATAACATAAACGACTCAAATCACAAGGGATAGTTTCCCCCACAAAAATTTAGGCAAGATACTTACCTCAAAGAAGCTAAACTGATACTCTAAAATAACCTACTCGTGTGAAACAACCTCCGGATGACTCAAATCTAGCTAAACTAACTTAATATCATAAATAAAAACCATAGGGAAATAATTTCGGATGATAAAGCTTTGATCTTTAATGAAAAATAAAAATCCAACCCAAAGAGTCAACTCCAGGCTCGCACCTCGAAACCCGACAAAATTCACAAAATCCGAATACACATTAAAATACTAGTCCAATCATACTAATTTCATCTATATCCAATGTTGAATCAATGTTTAAAACACAATTATTCTCTTTAGAATTCTTTTGATAAAAACTGTGACGGGCTGGAATTGCCACCTATGGAATCGTGATAGTGCCTAATATTTCATTTTCTAGGCAAGCCAATGTTAGGGGATCTTTAAGCCAATTTTAACCAATTCCAATAACAAAATCAATTAAGCTGAAATAAAACTAAAACTGAGTGCGGAATAATATAAAAGCCAATAATATCTAGTACAACCCGTATTTAGAGTCACAATTCACGAGCTTCTAGAATCTTTACAAACAAGGTCAGAAGTAAATACAACTGTCTTGAATGAAAAGAACAATAAAATGGGGAAAATAGAAGGGGACTTCAAGGTCAGCGGACGCCATCAGATCTACCTCGAGTCTCCAAAAGTAGTTCCAAGCTAAAATGCCTCATGGACAGCTGGGACTCGTACCAACATCTGCACAAGTAGTGCAGAGTGTAGTATGAGTACAACCGACCCCATGTACTCTATAAGTGTTGAGCCTAAGATGAGGTTGCGACAAGACACCCACGTAATAAAGCGATGCAGATAACAATATACGTACAAGATAACAACAAATAAAGGCTAAACATGTACTATTGGGAGGGGACATGCTAAAAGGGTACAAGATAAAATAATTACAATAAAAATGAAAATCAAAACAATCAATATGCCTTTAACCAGTAAAATGAATAAACGCAATGAATAAAATTGCACGGCATCACCTTTCGTGCTTTTACTCATAACCTCACAATGGAACATTAATACTGCACAACATCACCCTTTGTGCTTTTACTCTCACTTTTATCATAAATCAATAGATACGGCACAACATCACCCTTCAAGCATTAACTCTCAAAATATGGCACAGCATCACCCTTCGTACATTAACTCTCACAATATAGCATGGCATCACCTGTCGACTATTAACACTCAAATACGACACAACATCACCTTCATGCATTAACACTCTCCCTTACCATATAACAATGAACATATAACAACATGGAGATAGAATGAACAAGAACAAGCCTTACATCAAAATGGTTCCACAATACCAACATCAACATTAGAATCAATACTCACTTATCACAGAAAACCCATAAATGTAGAAAGAATGATCAATTTGAGAAGTAGCTAGGCTAAGCATGGATAACATGATCAAAGTAGGTGTCGCGCCCCCTTTTTTCCTCTGCGGAGAAAGTCCGGGTTCTGACATTCATGGGGGGTAATAACTCATTTCCTTTTTGGGAATTTGGATTTTGAAGAGTCGCCACCTAATGGATTATGGTGCGTTAGGGCACCTAGATTTATTATCTCTTACATTGGTTTGCATTACCAGAGATTTAGGGTAAGGGCGCGAAATAACTTTGAGGGGAAGGTTTTAGGCACCTCTCGTGGTCCACAACGGTGGGTCCCAGCCAAACTTATACTTATGAACTAGTCCTTTAACAAATAGTTTAAACACATAATTACAAATAAGAGCAGGTTTTGGACATTACATTACTCAAATAAT